TCAAAAATGGGCCATAGGCCAGATTCGGCCCAAGCGCCCTAGTTATCCAACTCCTGCTCTAAGGGAGCATGGGGCACAGAGTTTTTGGTGCAGAGTGAAGGAAGGGCAGCAGAGACGGGGAGCCTGGCTAGGAGGCTATGGTAGAAATGGAGGGATGAGACAAAACAACCTCGGTCTAGGTTTCTTAGGGCTCCAGCTTCCCTCAAAATGTCCATCAGCTGTCAGATCCTCTGCAGCCTCACCAAGACATTGGGCACAGGCTTGAAGGACTGGGATCCCTCTCCCTTAACTGGTCCTGGATGGTGCTCAAGAAGCGAGAAATGTCCTCTGGAACCCAGAGTGAGCATCTTCCATGGTCCGGCTCCCATCCACCCTGACGCTAACCCTAACCCTAAATCCTAACTTTAACCCTACAGTTCTCGGGAAAGGTGGCTGAGTGCTGACAGGTATAGTCACCAGGACTCCCTCCCACCTCTTCCCCTCTACAGTGAACACCAACTCAGGCTCCCCTAAGCCCCCTCCTACTTCCGGACCCTGTACCCACTCCTGGCAGGTCTCTCTGCCTCCAGCCTTCCCTTCATGCTGAGTTGTAGCCTCCCCTCATCTTCACCATCAGATAGTCCGCACTGCTTGCTCTGGTCTGCCAGGCAAAAGCCAAGTGCAGACTCAGCCAGGCTGCTCTCTTCCCTCCAGTCCCCTGCCTGACTGCCCTCCCTGCTCCTCGTTCCTCTGTTCACTCATCACCACATTTCCTGAACAAAACCCTTCGTCCTGCGAGGGCCAGCGCGTCTATGCCTCCTCCTTGTGACCACCTTTCATCTCTCCCTTCTTTGTGATCCTCCAGCACTCACTGCACTGTACCCTTGGCGTTTAGATTCTGCTCTCAATTATCAGGCCAGTGAGATAACACAGGAAGCATCTAGCTCGGTGCTTGGAACGTAGCAGGTACTCAGTAATTATGTCCTAGATGATGGGTTTGTTTATTCATTTATCTAACGGGTGTAAATTGGGTGTCTGAACCATATACAAATGTCCTTTGATCATGCTTGTTTCAAGAGTTGCTACTCTCCTGCCTCAGAAAGGCATTTTATGAGCCTAATTGATCCGCACATTAGTTAATGAGTCATTATAGGATCCTGTCTTTAAACAATGGCCAAAGAGTATGGGGGAGAGCATCAGTACATTGTGCACTGGGACCCATCCCAAAGCCGCAATGTCGTGTGTGGTGTACTGTCTACTTGGTGTAATTAGCTCCTATGTTAGGGTCAGATGCTCTAAAATGCAGTTCACATCAATGGCTGCTCTAACCAATGACGTGAATCATTTTATGGCTCTGGTTTCTGGCCTTCAAAGCGATGTTTTCCCATTATAGGCCTAGTAATCATATGCTCCCTTTTTTGGAGGTGGCATGCTGAGCCAGTGCCCTCTGCCCTAGGGTGGCAAGAAAGTGTAACAAGGACCCTTAGTCCCTCAGAGGCCAGGCCCCTCCTCCTGCAGAAGGCACTGCTGGGCTTTCAGTATTTTATATACAGCAAATCTTTGCTGAGCTGCTGAGATCCAGATAAAGAGCTTAGGAAAGGTTTGAGAGGATCAGTCATGCTCCCTACCTCGTAGACCTGAGACTTCGCTGGGACACTATGAGGTGGTAGAACAGAGTGGCAAAGAGCCTGGCCTCTGGCTGCCTGGTGAGTCCTAGTTCTACCAGTTAGCTGTGTGATCCTGGGCAAGTTGCCTGACGTCTCTGTGTCTGAGTTTTCCATTTATGAAATGGAGGTATTCATTGTAGCTCTCGTCATTGTACGTTCTGCATGAGTTTATGTATGTAAAGTCCTCAGAACAGGGTCGGGCCCATTGTAGGTGTCAGCTCTTATAGTTAAGAAATCTCACAAGAGAAGATGATCAAAACTGTGGTTAAGTGTCTCAAAGAATTTTCTAGACCAGGGATTGGCAAACTACTGCCTGTGGGCCTAAATCTACCTTGTTGCTTGTTGTCATAAATAAAGTTTTATTGGAACCCAGCCACCCCCATTCATGTACAGATTGAGTATGTCTGTGTTCACTCTGCAGCAGCCAAGGTGGGCAGTTGCAACAGACATATGGTCTGCGCAGGGGAAAACATTTACTATCTGGCCCTTTACAGGAACAGTTTGCCGACCTTTGTTCTACATAATAACTCCTGTGAGGGATCCAAGAGCCTAACAATCAGTCCATGCTGGAGAATCAGGAAAGGTTTGAAAAATGTTCTCCCATTCAACACTGTCTGAGCCCTTGGCATGCTGACAGGCACTGGCAGTGCAGAGGCAGTGAGACCTGGCCCCTGCCCTCCAGATAGTTCGTGGTGTAGTGGAGGACCAGGCACACAGATCACTCACAGTACAGCAGGTAAGTGCTGACACAGAGCAGAGAGGAAGGGTCCTCAGAGGACACGTGAAGAAGAGATGCTCAAGGAGACATTACTGAGGGAGCCAGGAGGAGGGGGAGGAATCTGTGCAAATCGGCGTCATGGACCAACATGAAGGGGTGTCACACAGGAACTCAGGTAGTTACACAGGCTGGGAGGGCAGCAGGGAGCAGATGCCAAGGGCCCCTCTTTGTGTGTCATTCTACAGGGCAGGACTGGGAGGGTAGGAGATGAAAAACATTCCAGCCTGAGAAGATGACCTCATGATGATGACATTGGCCATCAGGGAACATGGGAAAACCAGCAGGGATGCGGCATCCCCACTCGCTGATGACAGTTACATTTCATCCCCTTTTCTAACAGCCGCAACCACTGCCTGCCAAGGCCCACATGCTCCCTCACCTACAGCATCGCTACAGCCCAGAGATCAGTCTCCTGGTTTTCCACTATCCCTCAATGCTGTTGCTCCTACAACAGAAATCTCATGTCACGCCTTTGCTTATAATTCTTCCATAACTCCCCCTTATCTTTCGGACAAAGCCCAACTCCTTAGCATGACAGACAGCCCCTCCTTTCCTGGCTCCTCCCCCTTCCCTCCCTTCACTCCCCCACTTCCCCACCCCGTTAAACAGCTCCAGATCAGCTAGGAGTCTCTAGACAAGCCGGTCCTTCCACGCCTTTGCCCATCTATGCACCTGCTCCTTCCTCTGCCTGGGCTGCTTTCCCTTCTTTATCCATTTATTGAACTCAGTTTATTTCCCAAACAGCCTGGGCTTCTTACCTTCAGGAAACCTGCTTTAGCCTTTCTTCCAGCCAGTGGCACTCACCTCCTCCTGTGTCCTATTGCCCATGCAGTGCAGAGGTCCCACATAGATGGTACCCGGACTCATGAATGAGCGCAGTGGCAGTGTGCTTCTCAGACATCTGAAGGCACCTTGGGCGAGGCTATGCTAGCACGCTGGCAGTACATGGGTGCTGGGCTGTTTGGTTTGGAAAGAGGAAACGTGCATAACTAGGAAAAACTATCCACAGGAATTCTCTACTCCTTAGGTCATAGAATAGAGACAAAGGAGCACCTTCAACCTCCCCACTGGGAGACTAAAGATCTTCATCACACTGACACAGACAGGAAGAGATGCAGATTAGACTTTGGGAGTGGTGCTTCTGTGGGTCCTGTCTTCGTGAATGGCACCACCACCCATGCAGTTGCCCAAACCGGAAACCCGCAAGCCATCCTAACCAGTGATCCCTCCCTCTCCCTCAGTCCCCACATCCACCCAGTCACAGAGCCCTCAGTATGGCTCAGACCTGCGTCTCCGTTCCATCTCCATTGTTCTCCTTCATCGCTCACCTAGACCACTGCAGAAGCCTGGCACCGCCCTCACCATCTCCGGCCTCACTCCTGCCACATCAATTTCCACATGAGCAGCTAGGCCGATGTTTTCTCAAAGACCTACGTATCCTGCCACCCACTGTTTAAAACCCCTCCACTTCTCCTCCCTCAGGATGAACCCCAACCCTTAGGGGCAGAGTTATAAGACTCTCTAGACCTCACTCCAGGCAAACTTTTCGAGTTCTGGCCCTTCTTGAGTCACCTCCTTGCACTGAAGGCCCAATCACATTGTCCACCCTCTCCCCTAAGTGTGGCAGCAAGCAGTTATGCTCAGTTTGTGGACCTGCCATTGGCAGACGCTGAATGACCACTTGTTCTGGAATGTTCCATGTCTGCCACAGCTCAGGCCTTGTGCATCTGACTCCTCAGAATGTCTTCCGCCCTCTCTCAGCATCCCAACTTTGTTGGCCAGTCTTCCACATCCTTCAGAATTCTCAAACCCCACCATCACGAAGAGCCTCCCCTCCTGCTACCACCACAGGACAGCGAGCCACCGGCTCCTCTGTGCTCCCACCAGCCCCCATCATAGTGTTCATCACCCAGTGTTGTGGTTATCGGTTTGCTTTTCTGGTCTCCCCTGCTCACCGAGGGCAGGGACAGTGTTGTGCTCACTGTTGAAACCCCACCTCCTAGCCTGGCATATGGTGAGTGCTTAGTAAATATTTGTGGAAGGCAAGACGACAACAAGTTAAGAGACAAGAATCTTGTCAAAATTCCTTCCTGAAAAATTCATTTATTCAACAAATAAACAAAGAGGATGGAGAAAAGCAAGCAGAGAAGAGGCTGAGAGAGATGTCTGCAGGTCCCTGGGGGCAAGATAGCTAAGATTCCACATGTGGCCTGAAAAATTGCCACCGAGCTCACGGGGATTTCTGTGCATTAAAGCGTGAAGAAAGAGTCTAACATCTCGGAGTTGGCCAGATGTGCCTGGTGTTGCCGTGACAACCCCCAGAATTGAGCAGATGTGCCATGAACATTTTTGGAAAACATCAGGGGACCCCAGAGACTGTATGGCCTGGAGAGAAATAGTTCACACTCAAAAAGGTGGCGTGGAAATGCTTAGTTTGGATTGAGAATCATGTGGAATGGTGTTACGGGGACTCTGGGCCTCAGGACATAACAAGGAAACTTCTTACTATCCTCAAGACTCTGAAAGTCTCTCCTGGCAGCCCCTACCTGGCCCCTAATCCCATGCTCTCTCCCTAGGTGATCAAGTTGGCCTTCGAGGAGTTTGACTTGGAGAGGGGCTATGACACCCTGACGGTCGGGGATGGTGGGCAGGATGGGGACCAGAAAACGGTTCTCTACATGTAAGTGAAGCAGAGCGTATGGTTGGGAGGGTGGGAACCTGCGTACCTGGGCTGATGGTGGTGGGATCGGCTTGCTGGCTCCTGCCTGGTCCCCCAGACCACACTGCAACCAGAATAGGTATCCCACAGTGCTCCTAGTTTCAGCAACAATGCCTTCTCCTCTCTCTAATCCAACCAAAGGAAACAGAGCATTGGACCAAATTCTCACTAGGAAGTCATGGGAAAAGAGTACAGAATGAGCAATCTCTTAGGGAGCAGGGAAATAGAGGTTTTGCGTCTATGCCTGGAGCTTTCCACCTGGCTGTCTGCTTCTACACAGACCCTGCTTCTGCCACCCAACAGTTTTTCCTCATGGCTGAGTACATCTGTGACAGTCTGACTTCAGACAGAGACAATGAAAGTGTTTTTGCTAACCTCCCTGGACACCCAGAACTCTCTGGGAAGCAGGTGGTTCCAAGGAGTTGGGATGACATAGACATAGTAGCCACATTTTCGGAGCCCAGAAAGGCTAATATGACACAGTCTAGTCAAAGGAGAGGATATCTCTATTATATTGGGTCTTGGCTCTTGGGGGCCATTTAGCTCCTCCTTCACCCACCACCATTAGCCTGACATGAAGCAAGATAATGCTCTTGTTCAGTGCAAGTGGCACAGAGCGACAGACAGGCATGACCTCACCCTTCTCCCCTGCCCAGAAGGAGTGGATTTTCACATACATTGAGCACCTACTATGTGCCCGGGCTCTGTGATGGGAAGTCTCACATCAGTTACCTCACTTAATTTCTACCACAGCCCTGTGAGAAAGGCATTATTATCTCCATTTAACAGGTGGGGAAACTGAGGCCCAGTGGTTGCTAAGATGGTTGGTGGCAGAACCAGCACTTGACTTCATATCTTTTGATTTCAGTGAAGGACAGTACCCCATGCCATACCCCCTCCCAGCCAGGCTTGCTCCAGGCAAACACACTGTGGTTCTAATGGTGAATGAAAAAAGGCTATTCGGTAATAGCTGACTTTTCTTGGAGCTTTTCTGTTCTGGGGAGCTTCCCACACTTTCTCCACACCTACCTGGAGAAGATTCTAACAGGATAGTTAAAGGACTCATGATGTTACTCACTGAGTCAGCTGACATGCCTGGGACCTGGGGTCTCTCAGGAGAAAGGAATGGAATGTGAGCCTGAAGGGTGTCTACCTTTTGGGTGTCTACCCCCTACCTATTCCACTGTATTAATCAGGCTTCTCCAGAGAAGCAGAGCCAACAAAGTGTATATAGAGAGAAACGGATCTATTATAAGGAATTGGCTTACACGGTTATTGAGGCTGACAAGTCCCAGGATCTACAGGGTGAGTCGGCAAACTGGAGACCCAGGAGATGGGTGATGTAGTTCCAGTGTGAATGCCAGCAAGCTCAAGACCCAGGAAGAGCTGATGTTTCAGTTCAAGTCCAAGGCAGGAAAAAAAATAAGCCAGTGTTCCCGCTGGAATTCTGGCAGGCAGGAAGAATTCTCTTTTACTCAGAGGAGGGTCAGCCTTTTTGTTTAATTCAGGCCTTTGATTGGGAAGAGCTTACTCAGTCTACCATTTAAGTGTTAATCTCATTCAAAACCGCAGACAAACCCAGAATAATGTTTCACCATATACCTGGGCACCCTAGGGCCCAAGCAAGTTTACAACATCAAATTAGCCATCGCACCCACCTCTCCCTTCCTCTTGGTGCATCCCCATTACTCACTTGCCCTGGTTTGGTGACCTGTACGCTGTAAGTTTAGTGTGCCCAAGAAGCCAGGATCCCAGCTTTGTCTCCTCCTGCAACCCCAGTGTGCTTTGCCATAGAGAGAACCTTACAACAGCAGAACTGAAAAGATTCTTGGGGACCATGTAGCCCAATCTCCTCACTTAACATGCAGTAGAAAAGCTCGAATAGACTCAGCCATTTGTCCAAGGTCCCACAGCAAAGAAAGGTGGAGGCAGCGTTTGTACCTGGGTCTCAGGACCAGTCTAGTGTGAGTGAGCTCCCAACAAATTCTGCAGCAGCACAGGAGCTCTTTCACCCCCTCCCTTCCAGATCTCTTTAGGCCAACATCAGTCTCAACCCTTCAGGGAAATACATGCAAAATGGCCAGGCTTCTTTGTTGTCCCAACTGGGTCGAACAGGAAAAGCAGAGGCTTTGGCCTTCTCCCTTGCTCCTTGCCACCCTGGAGTCAGGAGCCAGCCGTGGCCTGGCCTCAGTCTTTACCCATTACAGAATGTCAGTGCTTCTAGCCCAGATGTGTAACACAGGTCAGGCTGGTATATCCTCGGTGGTCTGTTCCAGTTCCAGCCCCATAGTGCTCATGGTGTGATGAGCATCTCTGTACAGCCACTCAACCCTCCCTCCCCAGCTTTGAGACCCCAGAGTAGAGCAGACCCATTAATCGAATCACCCCTCCACAACTCACCAGTCCCTAACTGTGCTGGTGATTTGCCTGGTCTCCACAGCAAGAGGAAGCCAGGTTTCTTTGGGAAAGAAACCCCAGCCCATGCAGAGGACCCTGGCTCTGCCACTCTCCAGTAAGCTGACCTCTGGAAAACCACTGCCATTTCGCACCTTTGTCTTCTCATCTGTACACTGGGGATAATACAACCCCCACCTCACTGGCCTACTGGGGGCATTAAATGAGATAATGGATAGAAAGTTGTCTCACTTGAGTAGGTACCTGGTAAATGTGGGTTGCATCAGAAGCTTCTCCATGCTCAAACTGTCTTCTTCGGAAGAATATGGCCCTAGGGTGACAGCTGCACTTTAAGTCTCACTTCTCAAAGTGGAACAGGAGGAGGTGTCTCAATGAACAGATGGCTGGGTTCGACCAGGGAAATGGGTTTCTGCCTGTGTCTTTTCTGCGATAAGTTCACACAAGAGATTGAAGATTGCAGGAGTAGATCAGGATCCAGGTAGCCCTGTCCCCTGAGTCAGCAAGGACACAGATCTCTATTGCAAGCCCAGGGGTCTGGGCTATGGAGTCGCAGTTGAGATTCAAGGTCTGCCTGTGGCCGAAGGGGAGAGGTGCTGAGTCTCCCAGCACACAGAGGACATGCACCTGGGCTTCAGTGTCAGAAGCACTGTGGGGCGCAGAATTTGCCCAAGTGGGTCGTCCCCTACCTTTAGATGTTATTCTGTTGGGGTGCCATGGCAGGGTGCATGCCTCTCAACCTCTGTCTCCTGGCAGCCTGACAGGTACATCGGTCCCGGATCTCATTGTCAGCACCAACCATCAAATGTGGCTCCTCTTCCAGACTGATGGCAGCGGCAGCTCCCTGGGATTCAAGGCTTCTTACGAAGGTAACTGCTCTTGGGGAGCCGATGAACTTGCCCTGGAATCAGATGCTTGGGGTCTGGATTTGGAGTCAGTGAGCCCTGGGTTCGAATCCTTGTTCTAGCTGGCACTAGCTGCCTCTCCTTAGGGATGTTGGAGTTCTTGACTTCTCTGAGCCCCAGGCTTCTTCTTTGTCCAGTGGGTCTCCCAGATTGTTTTGAGGATTATCTTGGAAAAATCACTTAAAATGTTAGACACACAGCACCAGGCACAACATCAGTTTCATCCCCAATTCTTACTTGGCTTGTGTAGACCTTTAAAAGGCCTCGCTTATTTTCTATCTTTAGACTGGAGATAGTAGCTTCTCAAGCTACCCTATTGGAGTATCCAAGTGATGAGTGACTGGGTGCACAGCGCTAGAGACAGACACCATTGGTGACCCAAGGAGTATACACATGAGGGTGACCTTCATCTCTTGGTGGGACCAGGCATTAAGGGAATGGTAGACTCTGTGGCCCAAGAAATACCACCATCAACACCATTCTGTGCACTTGCAAACCTCCTATTGGCCAATGACTACTAATGCCGGTCCCCACAAAAAGGAGAGCAGAAGCCATCCCCCACGTATTTGGTAAGGCCCTGTTAGGTATCTGACCCTAGACCAGCAGTAGGGAACAGATGCATTAGATGCAGGTCTTTGTTGCAAGGGGCTGGCATTCTAACAGTGAGACAGGACGTGTATGAGTGTCCCAGAGCTGCTCTCACGAAGTACCACAAACTGGATGGCTCAAAACAACATAAATTTATTCTCTCACAGTTCTGGAGGCTACAAGTCCAAATTCAAGGTATCAGGAGGGCCATGCTCCCTCTGAGACTGTGGGTAGAATCCTTCCTTGCTGCTTCCTAGTTTCCATGGCGACCTTTCCGGCAGTCCTTGGCATTCTTTGGCTTGTAGCTGCAGCACTTTAGTCTCTGCTTCTGTTGTTCACGCACGTCCCTGTGTGTTTCTCTCCTTATTATAAGGACACCAGTCATATTGGATGAAGGGCCCTACTCTGATATGACCTCATCTTAACTTGATTACTTCTGCATAGAGCCTATTTCCAAATAAGGTGTCACATTCACAGGTACCAAGGGTTAGGATTCACCATATCTTTTGGGGGACACGATTCAACTCATAACAGGAGGAGAGCCCATATTTCCAGCACTAACGCTGTCGTACGACAATGCCCACTGGGGTAAGGACAACGAATTACTGTCCTAAGAATAGGAAGTATGTGTCTAAGTGAGACAGAACAAGGAGTCAGAAGAACACCTACCGAGGGACAAGGGCTCAGTTCAAGTCCTGGTTATGTCACTTTCTAGCTTCATGACAGGTCAGGGAACCTCTCTAGGGCTCCATTTCATCCTCTGTGAAATGGAGATGATAATGCAACCTAGGTCACAGGGCTACTGGGAAGATGACATGTAGGTAAAGAATGTGAAAATAAGAAGTATTTCAAACTGCAAAGCAGTGAGTGGGTGACTCATGAATGAGTACATAGGTAGTTAGATGTGTGGGCTCCTCTGGTGTATAAAGTTACATAGAAGCAACTGTGGGGCAATGGAAAGAACACCAGCTGATAAATCAGGAAATTCTGATCCCGATCCACTCTCTGATATGACGGTTGACCCTTGAACAACGTGGGGTTGGGGGTGTCGAACCACTACGCAGTCAAAAATCCACATATAACTCTTCCCAAAACTTAAGTTGTCCCTCCATATCTGCAGGGAATTGGTTCCAGAACACCCCACAGATACCCAAATCTGTGGTTGCTCAAGGTCCCTATATAAAATGGCATACCGTCGGCCCTCTGCCTCTGTGGACAGAAAACTGTACAGGGAGTTATTGAAAAAAATCCACGTATAAATGCACCTGCGTAGTTCAAACCCATGTTGTTCAAGAGTCAACCGTACTTTGAAAATGGAAATGGACGTGACTCAAAGTTTCTAAAGTTTCCCCATTTCTGAACTTGTAAAAATGTTCAGCAGTGAGTGTTTCCAGAAGTGGGGAGGAACGAACCTGTGTCATCCACATGCCCTTAATCTGTCCATATTTTACCAATGGCTTGGATAAGACATAAATAGCATGAGCTTGAAAGGGATGTCAGTATACCAGTCAGCATGCAGAAAGATCTCGATGGGGAAGGGGCTATGGGCTAAATTACTAGGATCAGGTGAAGTGGGGACAAAGATCTAGTCTGTTTCAAGGTTCAGAAAAATTAGCTACCAGAATTTATCCCACGGAGTTAGTTGAGCTTTATTCTCTTCTGATTGTGCATCAGAGAATCGAGCTTTGATGTGGGGGCCTCAGATGGGTAAGGAGCAAACTTAAGTCAAGCCCAGTGAGAAAGGTTAACAACCCCATGAATGTTTATTCATGGGAAAAGTGGACTCAGAGAAGACTTGAGAGCTGTATTCAAATGTCTGAAGGGTTGTTATGTGGGAAAGAGGAGTTAGACTTGTTTGATGTGATTTCATTGGAAAAGAAAGGCACATACTTTTGTTGAGAGCCTACTTTGTGCCAGAAGCTTTATGTTCACTATTTCGGGGTTTTCGGTGTCATGCAAAGACTTGGGGTACCCTCAGGGACTACCAAGGTGGGATAGGGGATGCCTAGCAGGGAGGGTCTGACCCTGCCTCGATTTCTTCTCTGTTTTCCTCTATTCCTTGTAAGGCTTCTTTGAAGAGGAGATTTGTAACTAAACACTAGTTTGAAAAGCACCGCTTCATCTCGTAGCTATGTGATGGCTGCTCTTTTATAGATGAGGAATTGGAAGTTCAGAAGGGTGAAGTTACCTGCCAGGTTCGCACACAAGGCTGGGAGCTGGCAGAGCCGAGATTCAACCCTGTGTCCCTCTGGCTTCAAAGCCCATGATTTACCCTCTATATGGAGAGCTCCCAAAGTGACAGAATTTCAATTTCTTTGAATCTTTATAGAAGCCAAAGCTTTACCCCAATCAAATGGGCCATATATCATGGGCCCGGATTCCTTGTTACTAGAGGTTGGGGTTTTGTTCATTAGTTCTTGTCCATTTCACTCAGCCAGTATCGATTAAGCTCCCGGACTGTGCTGGATACTGAGGTTACAATACCAAGCAAGTTAGATGCGGTCTAAAAACATACACTGTATGACTGCTGGTCACAGACTAGGTGTCAGCAAGACTTCTCCTTGGACCCATAACAAGTTATGAAGGGAGTCTGGGCCTTTAGAGACGTTGCTAACCAGCAAGGGACTACATAGGTTCGGGCACAGAGGCAGCCGGTCCTGTGTAGATGGAATGGACTGTGGAGTTGAACCCTACCTGGTGAATCCAGCTTGGTCCCAGCTATGTGAACTTGGGCCTCATTTCCCATCTCAAAATGGAAATAATAGTGCTGACCTTATAGGCTTATTGTTAAGAAAGTGAAATGAGATCACAGAAAGCTCCTCGCACGGTGCCTGGCACAGAGGCTTCTTCTCCCAGGGGCCGCTGAAGTGCCTCTCCGCCCAACCCTCTGTGATCACCACCACCACCCTCCACGGGGGGCGTCCTCCTCTGCTGGTAAACACGTGGCTTCCTGCCTGTCCGCCAGGTGGCCTGTGCTTGCTCTGATGGACCCCTGGGCTCGGTCCCTGCCCTACACCTGCACTCCCCACCCAGGGCCCTCACTCCCCAGACCAGCTGAGAAATGGGATGATTCACTGGGGCCACGGTGTACCGTGTGGGGGCAGAAGTGGCAGGAGACAGATCCAGGTCACTGAGAGCCTTGAGGCCTCACAAAGAGTTTGCACCTTGTCCAGTGAGGGGAAGAACTTGTGAAGGATCAAATGTCGGGATGGCCCTGCCTTTTCCTTCTGTCCCGTCCACCTTTGACCTTTTATTTGAGGGGCGGAACGCATCGGTCTCACACCTTCACTGCGAGGAGCCCCCTCTGTTGTGGAAAAGGAGGGGAGTCGAGTTCCCTGGCATCTGATAGGGCTGTGTCCTCTCGCCTGCCGCCTCCTGGTTCTCCTCCCCTGCTCTGCTGCTCCCTCCCCGCTTATCTCCTGCACGGTTCCTCCCTGCCTTTCAGGGCAGGCACTTCTCAGCCTCTGCCCTCAGCCTTCCATCCTCTTTGTCTAGAACCTTCCACAGTTGATCGCGTCCACTCTCATGGCTTCAACCTCAACGTGAACACCAGTGACTTCCAAATCTGTTCCCCACTTGCACTTCCATCCACCTGTGACACATTTTTTTATAGCTTTCCTCTCAGACATCCCAAACCAAGCTCTGCTCTGGCTGCCATAACAAAATACCGTAGCCTGGGTGACTTAAGCACAAATTTATTTTCTCACAATTCTAAGCTAGAAGTCCAACATCAAGGTTCCGTTCCAGCTGATTCAGGTTTTGGTCCAGGCTCTCTCTCTGGTTTGCAGATGGCTACCTTCTCACATAGCCTTTCCTGGGTGCATGTACACGGGGGAAAGGGCAAGGGCTGGGGGTGGAAGGGAGAGAGAGAACAATCTCTCTGGTTCACACTAATTCTATAGGATCAGGACCCTTTATGACCTCACTTAACCTTTATTACCTCCTTAGAAGCCTCATCTCCAAATACATTCACACCGTGGGACAGGGCTTCAGCTTATGAAACATTCAACCTATAACACCATCCAAAACCAAATTCTTCACATCTACCTCCACACCCCCTGCCCTCGGGTCCGCATCTTGATGAACAGTGCCCCGCCCATGCTATCACTCCACCTCCTCCCCACCCTCCCACCTCGTCCCAGATTCCGTCAGTTCTTTTTCTGCAGCGTCCCAGCTCCTCTGTCATTGCCGTGGCTGAGGCCTTCATGGCCTCTCTCTTGACTGACAGTACAGTCTTCCTATCCTGACTCCGGTCCTCTCTTCCACCCCTCACTCATCTGCCACACGCAGCACAGTGATCTTCCCAGAATTCAAATCTGGCAGTTTCTTTCTAGTTTGTTTGTTTTTTTTTTTTAAACTTTAATGAAAATTTTTCA